TTTAGTCCGTTAAGGATGTAACAGCTAACAAATACAGCTAATAAATGCTGCCATTTTATTCTTTAACAAATAGCTAAATTTGCAGGCAACAAGATGCAAACCTTTAAAGTTCCATGTTAAACTGTGAAGAAAGGAGAAATTGATAAATTCTTAAAAGTTGTCTGAAATCATGTCTTAACATGTTTACTTGAACTATATCCCCATAAGGAGCACTAAGTGTGGTGCTAATGTGCATAAAATGTTACTGAGATACTGCAAAATTCAGGCTAATTTAATAAAGCCTGATGTGCCTTACATCATGTTGCAATGATGCAATAATATGCTGCTAAATGAGTCACCTCACATTAGCTTCATGGCAACAGCAGAGCTGATGGCTACTGAAGGGAAAATGGGGTAGAAATATTACTGCAAATATTGATGGACCAGCTTTCTATTGGATTTTTTTCATCCAAGATAAAGCTGCCTTATTTATTGTGTATTACCAACATACACAAAACCTATATAATAATAGCAGCAAAAATGAGTTAGAAATCCATCTGCCACTAAATAAAATATATGTAGTGTACACAGTATCATATAGATCATCTCTATGCTGTCTGTGTAGTGCTATACATTTCATGCAATATGTATATACATAATGTACCATGGTGTATATTTAATGAATTATTATATACATACATATATATATGATTGTACATAGTCTAAGTGAAATGTAATTACTAAATTCAATTCATATCTCCTTCCAGCACTCATATAATCTACAGTTTTACCAGCAGCAGTTTTTTCAAAATGGGTTTTATAAGTTCTGAAGTGTCCCATCATCATGTAGACCACAGAGATTAATGAGTAACAAAACTGGAGTAAATTAAGATATGACTCTTTATAAAAGGCTACGCTTTAAACCACAAGTGCTGGATGCCTCTTTAGTTCCTGCCCAGCATCCATTACATTCAGCACTTGATTCCATTCCTTTCCCACACACAGGATAGAGTGCAGACTTCAAATTATTATGAAGAGAGGGAAAATGTGTTATCTCCACGTGTCAAAAAATCCATCATGTCTATTTTTCATGCATGATTGTTAGAATGAAAATAGAACATGAAAGGGGATAGTCACCAACAATTTACTCTGCTGAGCCTGGTGATGCCAGTGGGGAGAGCCTGTGCCAGGCAACGAGAACAGGCACTGGGAGGCTGAAGGAGCATCCCCCACCCATTACCCAGGGCACTCTCAGGCTCCTCGGGATAAAGTTACCTTCTGGGAAGACCCACACAAACAATTAGAAGAATTAGTCTAACAGCTCCACATGTACTGCACATTTATCTCAATTTCACTTTAAAAATAGTGCAGACCCCTGGCTTTGTTTGAGCTCAGACCTGTCAAACCAATGTGCAGTGACAGCTGGGGACCTTTTTGATGATATTGGAAATGGGAGTAGTGAATTCAATATCTGAAGTCTAATCTTGTTTCTTTCACATAAACTACTGTTTTCACTACAAAATCACACAAATGTGAAGAAAATCCCTTTTATTACAAGAAGCTTTCTGAAAATTTAACCTTTACCTGATTTATAAATTGTGAAAAGTTGCCATTCCCAAAACTGCAAATATATGGCCAACAAGAATGGTGGAGCTCCCCACAAAAACCACAAACCACCACCCTCCCTTCAATTCAAATACACAAAAAGAGACTTTGTGTCAAGTCATGTAGCATTGCATTTCATTCCGACAGCTAAACAGAGTTTTCAGTATTTCTTCTAAAAGCTGTCAATTCTTCCTCCAGGTAAAAATTTTTGACATTCATCTAAATCAGCTCTGCATAAGCCTTAATTTGCCATCTTACCATCCACTTGAGAGTCTGTATACTTTTGGATGTTCCTTTTTGGCTTGTTTGAAACCTGATGAAGACAAAACCTGAGAACCTGCATTTCTTGCTAATAAAATATTTGTAAATTAGCCATATTTACACTCTTGTGACTAAATGTTACAGCTGAATCAGATTCTATTACCTAAGTCACTCAGGTTCCTAAGCTACATTGAAAATCAATCACACTTCAACTCCTACAGCCTAAATATAAAGCCTGTAGGTAGCAAACAGTCCCTACAAATCACTGCTTAGATTATTTTCAGTAAAAGGTGAGAATGATACTAAGACTCTGAAACATTGCAGTTTACAGTAAAATCTTGAGAATTTTCATTGCAGCCTTCTGTAAACTCAGAAAGTAAAAATTAAAACTCCTCACACTTCCATACTAGGTTATTAATACCTTTTACACCAGTAACATAAGGAAAGGAGGTAGGAGAAGGACAGATTCAAGAGTATTTGGAGAAGTTTGATATTTTCAATTCATCTTATGCCAATGACAAACTCAGGAGACTGATGAGCTATTGCCATTTTACCATTTCAGACACCTTAGCCACTGTCCTTGAAGAACTCATGGTTCAGAGCAGAGACTAGAAAAGAGTGGGGTTGGTTGGTTTCAGAGAGGAAGAAAAGCAGTGGCATGTAATTTCACAACAACCTAATGCTTTTGTTTATTTTTTTTAATAATACTGGAAGAAATAGACTGCAAATGTCAGAAGAGAATGAAGATGTGATACTGGTTCAGTTGGAATATATAAAATTAATTTCCTTCTCAGATTGCAAATAGATGCTTTAATAAGGCTTTTACCACTTCCACATTTCACAGGTGAACTAAGGAACCAAGGACAACTAAAACTAGTGCTGAATACAGAGAGGAGCTGATAAAAAACAGCTAAGAGTTTATGATCAACAGTGGGTGAATGTATTAACTGAGACTTTGCAGGCGTCTGTTTTGGGCATCATTCCACCTCTTAATTAGTGACTTGGATGAAAAATGAAGACTACATTTACTAAACTAACAAAGCAAATAACCCATAAGGATCTACAAATGCAGTGCAAGCCTGGAATTCAAAACTGCACAGACAAATTTAGAGATGGTAGAAGCAATATGTTTAAAAAGTAAATACATTTTTGTACATGGAACCTGTAAACTGCAAAACACAGGGTGAGGAATAGCAAGCTAATTTCCCATTACCATAAAAAGGTATTGGGAAATGTTAGATCACCACGATTCAAATATATATCAGAAACTGGGTATTTGTTAGGAAAATAGGCAAATACTAGCCAGCAAAACATTCACAGTACTGTGTGAAGGATGGAGGAAATTTCTTTTTGCCATGGTGGTAAGGCCCTAGCTGAGGTACTTGACCTCATTTAAAGCACTGGAATTCCCTAGAGTTGTGAACCTACTGGAGTAGATGCAGAGCAGAGCATAAGCTTTTCTACAAATATTTCAGTCTGAGATAGATCCTGTCACATAGCCACTGTTAAAATATACCTGCACTCCACACACCCAGGTCAAAATTAACTCCAGTTATAGCTTATCTTTTCTAAGGACTCCTTATCACCTTCATCATCTAATGGTTTTTCCAGCCCCTACAGAGAGTAGATCCATGTCCACTGTCTGTAAGACAAGAGTTAGCTACTTTAATTACAATGATGTTTAGATAAGGGACCAGGGAAACTTTCTTAAAGTAATTACACTTCAGTAGTTGAAAACAAAACCCGGGGTGCCCATGCAGCCTCTTCCATCTCTAACTTTTTTGAGAACTGAAGCCTCTGTCAGGGACAAGGCATCTGATTCTTCATTTAGATTGCAACGACCTCTCACAATCACTTTGGACCTTCTCTATGACAGATTTCAAACACTGTAGCTGCAATGAGAGCTGTATTTCAAGCACTACCATGCATTCAAACACACAAATCAAAAAGATTCAGAAATCCCAGCACAGTCCAAGTTAAATGAATTCAAATGCTTTCAGATTTATCTGACAAAGACCAAAATAAAGTACAAACTGTAACTTATCACATGAATTTAAATGGAATTAAAATTTAATTGAAAGTTAACTCTATGTTCATTTTTTATTTTCCTTAATATATAACTAATACAGATTTACCTACAGTAACATTTTCCCCACACACTAAAAAATTTAAGGAAAAAGAAACTGAGGGAGATTAAATAGTCAGAAGCTTATCAAAGGGACACACAACAAAAAGTGATGTTAATAGAAATAAATATGTATAGGACTGCAGGGTTAAATAGCTATATGTAAAAAATTATTATTAAACTGTACTAGATAGAAACAATCCTAAATATACAATGATTTTCCTCACTGAGACACTGAACAACAGAAATTACACTCATTACTGCAAAGCAGAAAGGAATTTTATGCAAAGTTCACCTAAAATCATTTTCCAATACAAAGCATTAATTTAATGAAAGAGTAACGTGGATATTAATTTGATTCCAAACTAATGTCAAAATTAAGTTATTATATTTAAATACAGAACATACAGAGTTATTTCAACAATAGTAACTACACTAATACAATGTTTTACTGTCTAGACTGGCAATAATGTGAAGCCCATAACTCTCAGGTAAAGAGCTATACTGCTTTTTGGGAGAATGTTGCTGAAAGCTCACCCATACAGCTACAAATGGGTCTTTGTTTGCCACATCTGCGTTGCAGAGAAGTAGTAAAGGCTGTGAGAATGATCCTTTCTTAATAGGGGAAGCATTGCCACATGGTGCTGCCCATTCACACTTCCCAAGCTACTAGTTAAACACTGAAAACCAAGATGTCAAACTCATATGCTAGATGTTATCCTCCAGAATAAAAAACACTTCTGAAAATATCTGCTCAAAGGAAATAGACAACCTACAGTAAAATAAAAAAATTCTTCCTCTTTGAGAAAATAAACATAAATTAATTTCTTAGAATTATAAACATATTAGTTATTTAAATCTTTATCAACAGACACAAAGTAATCACATGCTAATTATACTTTTTAAACAGTCAAACTTCCTGTGCATTCAAAACAAACTTTTAAACAATGATCAAAGCATTCTTAATCTGGCTCATTAGAAATAACCCGAAGAAAATCATCATTGTAAAATGAAGAAACTCTGTACTTACTTGACAGCCAGGTAAGCCTGTATCTCTACCATACAGTGGAAATGGACCTCTGTCAGAGGTTTTTCCTATAAAAGAAAGAAATTTAAAATTAGGTTATTTTTAAAATCCCTTAGACATCCACATCAGTTTATGTCCTTTTATGCAATTCAGAAAACATATTAGCATCATAAAAAATTTACAAACATTAAGTTGCATGAATAAAATCAGGTTTTTGTATATGTGTTTAACATGCTCAAACAACAGTACAGTAATAGATGACATATTTACCCAATTAAATTCCTTTTGTAACCAGTCAGATACTATAAAATATTCCTATTCAGTGTTTAAATACAAAAGGCTAAAGTCCATTTTTATTTCCATTGTTAACAAGCAAAGGTAGAGACAATTTTAGACATTTCTCCTTCCTACAGGAAAGTAACACTTAGCTGGTATCCATCTTAGACAACGAATATACTGAGCAATAAAATGAAACCTCATGAAAAGCAAACAAAAACTTCGTTCAAAACACTAAAACTCATGCCACCCTTCAACCACTGATTCATTCAGCTCTTGACACTCACCCCTAAATCTCTTTTTGTTTAATGTACAGATCAGCAGGCACAAAACTCAAGCAATACAACTGGGCAAGACAGCAAATGCAATTTTTGTGGGTAAGCAGCACACAGAGAACACGGTGCAGAGCGGCTGCCTTCTGATGTTGCTGCCTCAGGTCACAAGACATTAGCAATGGGTTTGCCAGCTCCAGAAAATCTACTTAGTGCTGTATTTGTTAGGTATGCCACCAAAAAGGCTTGTTTGTATATGAAAACTCAGTGTGCAACTTCTCCAGTAGAGCTCAGAAGTTTATCAATCTACACATTGAAAAAAAATCTAGAATAGAAGCCCACTGAACAATGCCAAGCATCAGACACTCATCAAGTTTGTGTGTAACAAAAACCACCAAGGGCATGTGCCTGCCCTAATTACGGCACAGTTAGGGCTCAGAAAAACCCTGTACCACCACTCAGAGCCTTATCCAAAGGCAAGCATTAATTAACCAGATCTACCCATTTGTAAATGAATGCTATCTCACCCAACTAGGCATTCCCTTTGCAAATGATGTGTGTGTTATCCTGTCCTAATAAGAAGAAAAAGTAGCCTCTCTTTCACATTCCCATTTCAGTGATAAATAGCTCCATGTTATTGCAATTGCACTTCAAGAATAGGACTTACTTTGCTTTTTCTGATTTTTCTCTCTTACTACCAGAAATCCCTAAATATAATTTCATAAGAGGAAAATCTAAAGTATGCTTTCTGTTCATTTTAAAAGTGCATCTTGTGTAAGCAGGGAGGATGAGGAAGGCTGCATCTCTTGGAACAACATCTCTGCAAGATTATCATCATGATAGCTACCAATGGTATGGTCAACAATAGTTTGCTTGAAAAATGGCTGCTCTGCTGTAACAAAGGGAGAAAAAAAGTTAACATTTTCTGCTGAAGCAATTTGCCTGTAACAATCTATCAAGCACCAAGCAAATAAAATACCTAGCATGCAAAATTATAAGTAGCAGGATGAATCATGCTGTTCATTTTAAACCAGACTCAGCACTTTCTTTCCAGAAAATGAGAATCTCATATCACATGATAAACAACTTTGACTGAAGTATGCAGTATTCCAGGCAGGCTTTAAAACAAATATTTGTACAAGAGTCAATTACAGAGGCTAGAAAAATTATGATTTAAATTATGGTTTGTGTAGCAAGCAAGAAATTGTTAGATAAGAATGCATAAAATCGTGTTAGTTAAATGTTATAATTTTTAAGGTATGGCAGATTCATATTAAAGGAGAAAAGCTTACTCCAACAGCCCAATCTATAGTAAATTTGGTTTCAAGAAGTGACCAGGAAAAGTCAAAGCCTTCTAGTGCCACAGGGCCTAAATATTTATCAAAAATCAGCTGGAGCAAATTAGCATTTAACCTGTGTTCAAATGCCCTGGCTTTTCAATGAAGGGTTTGGAAAACAACCCTGGATCACCCAAGTGAGGGTGCCTTTCACAGTCTCCCAAACACACTCCCCTTTCAAGCACTTAGACAGGACTCAAACTTGCAATAGTGTCATAATACTAAAGGTACACATTTTTTGAACACCCAAAATTAGCAGTCACACACTGTAGCAACACACACTGAGCCCACACTCAAGTCCTGCCCCTGGGTCCCTCTCAAACCATGGAGCTGCACCCTGTGCCCCTCGTGTGGGACTGGAGCAGGTCAGCAGCTTCACCTCCACACTGGCACAGCACAAGGACAGACAGAGGTGGGTGATCCTGGGCACCATCGGAGCACACCACGGAGGGCAGTGAAGCCTCTGAAGATCAGTGAGAAAACACCAAGGTTTCTCAGCCTGGCCCTATCACAGCTTCATTTCCAACACAATGCAAAGGTGATGGATACAGACTTCAAACTGCCCATTGCCTTCTCAGCACATTTCGGCTGCTCCAGTCCAGGCACAGTGCTACTCTCACTATTTAAACCTTTGTAACCTAATGCCACAGGTGATGTTTACTTATCAATAGAAACAGAAAATAGCACTACTATTTAGCACTACTTCCCAAGTACTTGAAAGGTGGGTAATGTCAGGTTTGAGAACATGACACTTCCTCCATGGTTCACAAACAGGTCCACAAACAGATCACTCTGTGATCAGTGCATGGGCAGTCTCTAGCATCCAATAAAATTCATACACATGGCCAAACATATCAAAGCAGAATCCCTTTGGTGGTTTTCAGCTTATGAAATACCTTTCTTACTTACTCATACTCTCTACAAATTGACAGAAGAGAATAAAAACATAGAGGTTACAGTAAAACCCCAAATTACTGGAGTCCCAGTGCTTATGAGAATGCAAACTCTAAAAATACAGTGAGTGAGAGCCAAAGCAGACCCTGACATGACTTGCAGGCTTACCCCACAAGATTTGCAGCTGAGACTGTTACGCCCTCTCTCAGGTCTTGTCTCATCAGTGCCCACTACACAGACAGCAATGGCCTCTTTTCCATTGCAGCTGGAAATTCAGAAACACCAATGCTCAGCACTTCGGGGATGTAGGAAACTCACTGTGGCACCCGACATTAATTAGAAGAAGGAGAGCAAAAAACACTATAAATGACAAAATCCTTGTTGAACATTAATTAGCAGAAGGAGAGCAAAAACCACTATAAATGACAAAATCCTTACTGAACACTTTCATTTGCACAGGTTTGTGTAGAGATGGAGGTAAGGTAATGTGCAGACCTATCAGCTGGGAAGATAAAGCAGATGCCCAGATGAAGTTTCTTTCCTCTTCAGATTTGATTTTATTTTCACACAACAAAAAAGTTAGATGCTGCCATTTTAAAAGCAAAATCTATGCCTTGCTTACGAAGTAGCATCATGGTAAACTCTTCTTCAGGTCCATCCTAGTGGCTGTACATACCAGAGTTGTGCATTCCAAGCAGACTTGGAATAAAGAAATAGATATTTAAAACAATTGAGCTGGTTATATGCAAAAATTTTACATTTGCACAGGTCAATTCACAAGGCATTTGACTCTCTTAATAACTTGGAATTAATGTGTTTTATTGATTCTTGGGTGTTTTGCGGGTTTTTTTTTTGTTTTGGTTTGGTTTTTAAAGTTTCATGTGTTTTTATAAGGAAAAATTTCAAGGACCTAGTCACCACCTAACAGGCCTAAAGTTCAGGGACTATGGAGTTAACAGAAACCCAACCAAGAAAATCCCACTATGCACTTTGAACCACAAATATTTCCCAACTGCATAAATTTAAAACCCTGACACATTCTCTACCAATTTGAACACTAATAGGCATTTAGTAAATAATTTTTTTCTCTTGCAATCACTTGTCTAAATGTGATATGCTCACAACTTAACACAGCCTTTGAATACCACATGAGGAATTGTCTTCCACAATACATCTATACGTATAACAGCTGTGCAGCCTAAATACTCTGAACACAGAAGGAACTGAAACAGCAAGATGCAAAGTGATAGTGAGCTGAAAACAGCACTGCATTCACTCAGCTGAGGACTACTTCAGTGATTGTGCTATAAATGCCTGCCAGTACAAAACAGCCTTTTCCCACTGCTTCTAGAAAATGCTTGGCTTATGAGAAGATGGCAGAACTCTCAAATAATTATTTCAATTCCCACAGAATTAACCCTTTACAGACTGAAATATTTCTGTGCATTGCTAAGAATTTGTTTGGTTGGCAGTATGGAAAGCAACAACGTCTTTTAATGAGCAATGTTTATCATCCAGTATGAATGCCACAGTGACCACAGCTGGCAGCTGCTCTGTTTGTCAGACATGAAGTATGTCTGCCCTACTTGTACAGAGAATCTGCTCTAAGTGAATACTGAAGCACGTTTTTACAGTTCCTAACACTTTAAACTGGTCCCCACAGATAGCCTACCCAAAAATCAGCTTATAAACACTGTTGACAAGTTTGAGAATTTCTTTTTCTTTTCCAGTTATTGAAGTGGTGTTTTCAGTTTAATATTTCTATTCAGTTCGAAATCAATTACTGGACTGCTTTCTCCCACTCTACATTCAGCAAAGTATGTGTCTTTGTTACCGACAGAATGGATACATTCAAATAATTTTTCATATGCAGATCTAACGTAAAAAGGAACAAGCTGCACAAGGTACACTGGTGAATACAAAAGATGCAAGAAAAACCTTCAACAAAGTAGACATTTTTCTACTAATGAATATTGCTTTCCAAATTACCATGAGGTAGAAAGTACACAAAGTTTCTAAAATAAGATTCTTGTAGGTCCACTCTTTATTTTTTAAAATTTTGTTGGCATTAAAAATTCTTATTCAGCAATTATTCAGTACATTGAAAAAATATGTTTGCTTAAAACACAAATCCATCTCTGCCCACAGGACTTTGTGTGTTGCCTTCTTGGAGGCAAGACTGACACATGCAGCCATAAAATTTTTTACTACGTATCTATGCATTTCCCACAGCAGCAGAAGAATAATTTCTTCCTTTTCTACTGCTATATAGCCTACTCATAAATAGAG